GCGCACACACACACACACACACATATCACTGACTATGTATCAAAAGTCACAACTGTATATCTTAACTATGAAAACATACACAAGTGACTGTATTATGCTTGCTGAGAAGACCATAGGAGATGATCAATTTCTACTTTAAGGGCCAAATGAAATGCTTGTAGCCCCAGGAATGCTAAAGTAAATAAGAAACAGCTTAGGAATTTCCATGGGAATTGGTCTGTCCACCAAGGCCAGAGACTCAGTATCACAGAGAGTTCCAAGAGACATCTTTGTCACCCAAGAACATTATACTTCCGTCATATGCACTTCTCTTCCAGAAGCAGCAACAGAAAGAACACATGCTGTGTGGCTGTGAAATGTTAAGAGCTTTAAGGACGACACAGGGCGGCACAGGTACACATAATGGACGTTAGCACACAATGCAGATGTGCACACTCAGTTAAAAGCCAGCTCCAGCAGAGTCTGTATGGGACAAGCTACAATGCTGCTCACTCAATGACAACAACATGTGCACTGAGGACAATGTGTGATCCAGGGGAGATTCAAGGATCAACACACATGAATCTGAAACATTTTATTTTGGAAGTTAATACTATACATTACAAGCAAGCTATTTAATATTTTTAATAGGTTCTTTCTTTTGAAGATGTCTTCCATGGGTGCCTATTGGTACTATTATGATAAACTTTATAAGAATGGGACAAGTCATCCTAGAAATAATTCCTGCTATTATTCATGACACCTGTACATGTCCTGTTCATCATCAACACCTTTTGTTAGAAGGGTTGTATATGGCTCCATGAAATCCAGACACTGAGATGCCTATGTGTCTCCCTGTATCTGCTGAATTCCAGCACTCAACTTCTTAGGAAACAGATATGATGGCTTGCTTTATTCATCCATCCATTCATTTATGCTGGATATTAAACCCAGATCTGATGGCTTTATTTATTTATTTGTTTATTTATCTATTTATTTATTTAGATGCTGGAGATTAAACCCAGAGCCTGGTACATGCTAAGCAAACAGTATACCAACGAGGTACATCCTATCCTAGACATGATGTTTAAATTTCAATGAGTTTTCATTTCAATGCCTATCTCCTAATTGTCCAAACATAGAAGAAGCCATGACTGAGAAAATTAACTCTTACACTTTCATTCATTAATTTATATGTCCAGTAAAACAGAATATTTTCATATCCATTAATAAAAACACATAAGCTTATTCAAATTCTGGAAGAAAAATATCAGGCCTGAAAGTCACAGCTAACATTTGGAGATGGCCATCCTTGAAGTTCCAAGGACTGCACAGGAGAGATGGCAGGGCTGGCCCTTGGGTTTCTGACTCAACAGAGAAAGGCCAGCTGACCAAGCAGCCTCAGAATGGGAGAGCTTGAAAAGTACCTCAGAACACTGCCTACTCATAGTTCCTAATCTAAACAGAGGGTAGAGCCACACAGGAAAGGGGACAGTGCCAGCTGGTTGCAAGAATGAGTTTACAGAGTGTGATTACTCTCCGTGACTTTTGCATTATTTCTCTTTATAGCTCATGCAATTTCTGTCTTATGATTGACTATTGCTGTTAGAATAATTCATGCATGAATAGTCACAATTGCTTTATCTTATGCATTAAACCCTTTGGCATCATAAAGAAAAAGGAATGAATTAACAACATCAATATATTAGTATTAAGATATTGAGATATATGGGGACAACTATGCATGCATGTATGTATATATATATGTGTGTATATGTATATGTATACACACATTTGAGGGGTAGCTGTATGTGGTGTGCATATATGTGTGTGCATATATGCTCATTTGTGCTTATATGTACAGAGGCTAGCAGAGATGTCAAGTGTTTTTCTTTATTGCTCTTTGCCTTACTCTTGTGAGACAGGATCTCTCAATGAACCCGAAGCTTGCTGTTTCAGCTAGGCTGGCTAGCCACTGAAGTCCTGGGATCTACCTGATTGCAATCCCCCACTTTTGTCCATGACCAGCCTTTTTACATGGTTACTGGGACTTTGAATTTGGGTCCTCACACTAATAAATCAAGCATACTTACATACCAAGCCATTTTTATAGGCCTTCTTTTTTTTTTCTTTTTTTCTTTTTAAGATAGGGTCTCATGTAACTCGTGCTAGCCTCAAATTCACTATGAAGCCAAGGATAATCTTGAACTACTTATCTTTTTGTTTCTACCTCTGAAATATGGGATACAGATGTCACTAGCATACCTGGCAATTCCCTGCACAAGATAAATTATTCTGACTCTAAAGAAGTGATGGCATGTGCCTATAGTTCTAAATACTAGGGAAGATGAGGTGGGAGAATTACTTGAGTTCAAAACAAAACACTCTCAACCCATTCAAAGCACTGGAAAAAAAAACACATTTGAAAATGTAATGGGACTAAAGATTACTAGTGAGTTAAATAATATCCCACTTGGTTGCGATATTACTTAGTTGTAGACAACATGCTGCTCTGGACTCTTACACGGGCTTTTCATTTGCTCCCCCTTCAGCCTCGTTCTATAGTGATTCCTTTGAATGCCCACTTACACAGAACGAGAGTATGAATGGCTAGCTCCATGTTACAGTTGTGCTGCATTTTGGATGCTCTTATCCTCTCTCAGCTGTGCTTGGAGGACCTCATCAGAGACCCCTCTGCCAGTTCTTTGGCTGTATCTCATTCATGACTGAGCCTTGGGTTCTTATGAGATGACTGCCGAAGTCAAACTGAATGCCAGGCAAGAACTGATTCCACCAAGATGGAAACATTAAGTTGCTGCAGAAGCTTTGAGGGTGGGCTGGCTTCCACTTTTGCTCATATGGTAGGTTCAGGAGGGAGATAAGTTACCAGCACACAAAAGCATTTTAAAAAAGTCAATTCTTCAAGGCTTGTGAGAAGTACAAAATCAGATAAGAACCTATCATCAGCAGTTGTCCTATGTCTTGTGAAATGCAATGACAAGCAAGCCCACTCTGAAACCTAACGGTTTTCAGTAACATGTCCTCTCTGTTGTCAGTCCTAATGTTTTTAAAGGTTTTGTGATAAGTTGATAGATTTGGGTGGTTGGTTTAAAATATTTAGGAAAATAAAACACAATTCGTATTTTTAAGGGGACAGAATGTAGGATACGGAGCCCTACACTGTCAGGACACAGGCAGAGGTTTCCTATGACATCAGAGAACCTACACAAGAAATGCCACATCTTGTACAATAATTCATGCATAGTCACCACAGAAATGTAGAGCCTGTCTTTTATAAAACATTCATCTTTAAAATAACACAAGTGGTAAGCAATGCAAGTTAGGACATGATTCCTCTTCCAAAGACACACAATGTGGAAGCAAAGCAGGTAACAAAAGCAGGCACAAAGGCAAACAGAAGGATCATGTGATCATCTCAGTAGGGGACATCAGGAAACCTCCATTTCCTATTCTCCTTCTGACCTAAATTAAACAAAACAAAACAAAACCTCACATTCTTTGGTAGCCAGAAAGTAAAGCTGCTACTATGAAATAATAGTCTCGACTTTTCAAGAGAACTGTAGATCTTACTACAAATCCTTCTGTAGCCAAAGGAACAAGGCATAACTGGAACAGATTTGACGGGCAATCCAATAGAATTCTAAGGAACAGAATTCTAAGGAGAAGAATCTAACTTGCCCAGTGTTGTCAAACTCATGATCACTGATCAGACCCTAAGGCTCAGAAGCAAATCAACAATCCAGGGCAGCACAAAGATTAAGGCAATCTCCATAGACTAATATTTAGAACCCACTAAATTTTATTTTAAAAGACAGTATTTTATATGTGAAAGACATTTGGAAATTCAACATTAATTTCTGAACACTCAAAATTCTCTAAGTTAAAGATACTGACTCCCAATTAGGGAAAGATACCACACTACTGAATGCCAAAAATGCTATTTATAATTAATTTTGTCTGTAAATTCCATGTAAACTTTAAATTTTATTTTATTTTATGAGTATTTTATCTGCATGCATGCTGGTATATGTGCATGCCTGATACCCTCTGAGACCAGAAGAGGGCATCAGATCTCCCTTGGGGCTGGAGTTACAGATGGTTGTGAGCCACTGTTTGGTTGTTGGAAATCCAACCAGGGTCCTCTGAAGAGCAGACAATGCTTGTAACCACTGAGCCATCTCTCCAGCTCCCCACTTAAGTTTTATGTAATAATCAACTTCAAGTTTGCTTTAGGGACACCTTCCTCTTAAACATGGCTGGGCTAACGTCTTGTGAGTCACCTGATACTGGTGCTGGGAACCACAAGCTCAGTGAACTCACTATGTAGCTGAGGGTGACTCTGACTCCTAATTTTCCTGCCTCTGTCTTTTCGGGATTCCAAGTGCTGGGATTACAGGTGTCAGCCACCACTGGCCCCAGCAGAAACATGACTTTTGTTGCTTCTTTGTTTTTGTTTGAGGCAGGGTCTCACCATGTAAGGTAGCCTTGGCTGGGCTTGGACTCGCTGTTTAGACCGCGCTAGTCTCACACCTGCTTCTACCCTTGTGCCTCCACCTCTGGAGCCAAGGCCTTTTTGAAATAGCCCATGATCTCCCAGCAGGAGGCACAGCCCTGGCTGGTAGGAATGACTCCTTTATCTGGTGGCATTTCTCCTTCAAAGTCATTTTAGCTTTTCCTGATGGATGAGACCTAGGCAAATTAGTATTCATGAGTGTGTTCTCACATATAAGTGAAGCATTTTTTTTCTAAAATCCTATGCAGAACTTTGACAGAATGTCTTTAGTTGTATAGTGCTGATGGTAGTGGTATAGTGATCAGTGATCCTAGAAAAGACATAACAAAACCTGGCACAGAGAGACACGAAAGCATCCCATCCCTCCATGACTCAGCAGCTTACACGCATTCGTGCACGCACACACAGATCGAAAGAGAAGCAAAGCACTGGCTGTGTGCTGTGTGCCCATTAGACTCACAGAAGTGTGGCTCTTCCTGTGACCCACCTGCTGTGTCCCTGCATGTCCCCCAGCTCCTTCTGCAGCCTGGCATTTTTCTCTTCCTCCTCCAACAACCTCCTCTTCACAGTGCGCAGCTCCTGCTGGGCCTCACACTTGATGTCATTGGCCACCACCACTGCAGTCTGCAGGTCTGCCTGGAACCGCCTCCATTCCTCAGTTTCCTCCTAAGAAACGACAGAATCCATATGTCCCTCAGACCTGGGCTGGGTGCTGGGGTCCTGAATCCTAGTAGCAGTCACTAAGGAAGAAGATTAAGCAGGAAGACTTGGCTTTCATGGTGTCTCACTACTTGGAAGAGACACAAGAAATAACTCCTTAGAGTCATCGAGTTCTTTAACTGAAAACTGAATGATTGCTTTAGTTTCATTTCCTGTCGGAAAGAATGTACGACTCAGGTTTATGGCCTGGAGATGTTCTAGGATAGTGGTTCTCACCCTGTGGATTATGACCCTTTGGGGGGTTGCATATCAGGTGTTTACATTACGATTCATAACAGTGGCAAAATTACAGTTATAAAGTAGCAATGAAGTAAGTTTATGGTTGGGGTCCCCACCACATGAGGAACAGTATTAAGGGGTTGCAGCACTAGGAAGGTTGAGAACCACTGTTCTAGGAGAAGCTGGCTGGAGAGAAGGACAGGGTACTTTCCCAATGTTTGCGACTCAAGCAGGAATAATGTCCAATAAGAGACTGAGGAGGCTCCTTGTGGTGGCTTACCTTTATCTGTTTTGTCAGGGTCTTCAACTGCCGTTCTAGGTCTGACTTCTGCTCCTCCAGCTTGATCACACTGCCTAGAAGTAAATGAGTTAGACAGGAGTTAGAAAGTTACAAGGCTCCTGGACAAGCGAAGCTGCAAAACAAGAGGACAGCTCCAGAGACCACAGGCTTAAAGCCCATCCCTCTACAGTACGCTATGTTGTAAGGACTCTGAAAACAGAGCTAGAAGCAGAGGCCTCCAAACGGCATCAGATGACGTGTCCATGGTGCTCACTTAGGTTATAACCTCGGAAGGTAAGCTGTACATACTGTCATGTAGCACTATGGGAGGAGGCTTCAGCAGTCATACAACTGACACTCTGGCCTCAGGCTTCCCTGACAGCCTTTATTACTGAGATTTGGAGGGCTTTGGTGTAAGAGAGGAGTCTACTGGTGACTACTCCTGTGACTTGGAAACTCACTTCTAGAGTCACCATTCTTAACCGCAGTTAACCCTGAGACTCATGAGACACAGGTGTGCAAGCATAAGCGCTCGATGGGTTCAGAATCTCTGAAGACAGCCAGGATCTGGGCCCACATATACCACAGCTCCACAGGTGGCACAACCACCTGTCACTAATGAAGAACACATTCTGACCTCTGTTCTCCCTGCCTCTAGCTCTCTCCACACTGCTATCAAAGCCATTTAAATGTAAGTAGCAATGTATCAATCACCAAGCAAAAATTCCAAGTATTTGTCTATTCAGGATATGAATTAAGCCAGGCATAGTGGTACATACTTGTAATCCTAGTACCTGAGTCACCAAGTGACTCTGTCTGAAAAAAGAGTAAGAACCCCCTCCTTTGTTTCTGGTTGTTTTGTCTGTCTCTTTCAAGGAGCTCATGGCAGGAAAGGATTAATCTAAGGCTGGATTTGAGTGTCCCTGTCTTCCTGACATAAATATACTTTAATAATACCTTGATATTCCTAGCAGGAGTTTAAAAGCTTCTCAGAAGACGGTCCGTGTTATTTTCAGTCTCAGATATATTATGATATAATCACTAGATGTGGGCCTGAAATTTGCTCTGGACATTAATTATACACTGGTTTTCTTAAAGTGTCTGGGCTGACTTTGAAGGATTTAGGGACAATACAACCACATTCTCCACAGTGCTAAATCACAAAGCAAAACAAAACAGGACTTGTCTCCTTTGACCTGATTCTTTATAAAGAGGGTGCTATGTTTGGAAACAGACAGTGGCCAGATATTTAATTGTGTTCTCAAGGATGACTATTAAGCCTGGGTGACACTGAATGTCAATGCTCTACAGTCCGTGACAAAGGCAATGGGCACTGTCACTCTGACACTAGCCAGCTAATCCAGGCACAGAACACACAATCAGCTCCCCTCAGAAACCACCATGCTCATTCAACTAGAGAACCCTGAGCTGCTGCTTTCCAAGGAAACACAATATTGGACTCCTGAAAGCCTCCAGTCATATTCTTCATCACCTGAAATACTATTTACATGCTATAGTTCTGCATGCCAGAGTCCTTGTAAAACAAGCCAGTCCCATAAGCATCAGGAACCTCATCTGCCATCATTTTCCCCCCAATACCAAACAGGTACTTTTTTTTTATTTTTATAATTAATTTAATTTTACATATCAGCCACAGATTCCCCTGTCCTCCCTCCTCCCCCCCCCCAGTCCTCCCCCCCCCAATCCACCCTCCATTCCCACCTCCTCCAAGGCAAGGTCTCCCCTGGGGATTCAGCCCAGCCTGGTAGATTCAGTTGAGGCAGGCCCAGTCCCCTCTTACCTACACCAAGGCTGAGCAAAGTGTCTCAGCATAGGCCCTAGGTTCCAAAAAGCCAGCTCATGCACCAAGGACAAGTCCCGGTCCCACTGCCTGGGGGCCTCCTAAACAGTTCAAGCTCATCAACGATCTCACTTATCCAGAGGGCCTGGTCCAGTTCCATGGGGGCTCCTCAGCTATTGGTTCACAGTTCATGTGTTTCCACTAGTTTGGCTATTTGTCCCTCCAAACAGGTACTTTTAACATTTTTCTGTAGCTTCCTAACCTATGCAACCTTCTTGTACTTTAAGTATCCTTTCTCTTATGCCTTATGAGTATACAATGAGAAGGATTTAACATTCTCCTGGCCCTGGACTATGTGAGAATGAATTCCTTTGTCTTTGGCATTCAGACACTGTTGTCCATGACACAGTCGGCTACTGACCTTCATTCCATGAATTTATAAGGCTCCTTTCCTTCCCATCCTTTCCATAGCTTCAACATCAATGAAGATGTATCACTGTGCATAACGGATATCACCCTAGCACTTTTCAGAGAAGCCTTAAGTTAGGATTGGAGAATGACCTTCTCCTCTCTCTGGATACTGGACTGCTGACTGGTGACACTGAACTCACATTCACCATCACAAAAGCTCAGACCTGACCACGGTTCTCTAACACATCTATATTGCTGCAAACCACAAAAATATATGAAGTAGGATTTCAGTTGATTATGACAAGCTAATATCTGGAAGAAGCCAAGGGCCTTCCAAAGGTCAAGCTGAGGCTCAAGGAGTCTTGGTGATATTGGCTTTCAATTATTAGTCATTTCCTACTATGAATTTCCCGTGTGCTACTGTAGCTTTTCCATCATTCTTTGGGCACAATTTCCCCTCTACTAAGGAATATTCAGATAACCTTCTGAGCAGTAACGCAGCCAGGATCCCTAATTTCAGGTATTTCTGTAATTATTGTCATTAGCAGCATCGGGCCAGGACCATCCCCGGAGGGACAAAAGTATCTTATCAGAGATACCTCTGTACTTTCTAAGAACAGACATAAGCATCCAGACTGTTTGAGAAGACCTGGCAGATGTGCTAATTAAACTTAACCTTCTCCTTTCCAAAGTCTTATCTCTAGTTTTAGATCCACCCTTAACAATTAACTCAGAACTAAAGGGTTCCAACTTACAGGTACATCTAGCTGTGATGGAAGTTGCCTAGCCAAGTTGCCTAGTGACCGGGCACACTTGCCAGAAATGGCAGAAGCAGAGATAGCTTGGAGAGATAAGGGCCAAAGGGATAAAAGGGCAGTTTTATTTTCAGAGAAGGATAAGATAGAGAAGAGAAAAGAGAATGGAAAAACTAGATGGTTAAGAACTGGAGAGGAACGAACTGAGATGGGAAGAACTAAATTGAAGAGATGAAAGAGAGTACTAGAGGAACAAGATGGAAGATGAGGAAAAGCCAGATAGGGAAGAACAAGATGAGAAAGAAGGAGATAGGAGAGGAGCTGATGTGGGAAAGAACTAGATGGATGAGAACCTAGATGGGACAGAACTAAGATGAGAGAATTAAGACAGAACTTAGAGGACAGCAGATAAATGTAGAGAGAAATCAGGCAAGAAAGAAGCTAGGCACGAGAGCAGAATAGAATCAGTGTAGAGAAAAAAACTGACTCAAAAGAATAGTGTATGGGCTAAAGAGTTTTGTGTACGCAGATTCATTTCTTATCATCAAAGATTAAATTATCAGCTGGTTTTAGATTCTTCCCAGACCCTGGGAGGCAACTATCGAGGGGCTGGGCCCCCACAGTCACCAATACTATTTCTGTAGGTATGTCACAGCCTTCCTGCACTTAGGGACAGTAGGCAGCAATTTAGCATCATAACAGAGTATTTAAAATATCAAAAACCATGAGAAACAAGTACAGATAGGTTTTTGTTTGTTTCTGTTTGTTGTTTCTGGGATAGCATGTACAGAACACTTGTGGGCTGGTGAGATGGCTCAGGGTAGCGGCACTTACCACCAAGCCTGACACCTCTGGGTTTGACCCCTGGGAACCACATGGTAAAAGGAGAGAACCAATACCCACAAGCTCTCCTCCGACCTCCACACCCCAAATAAATAAAATGTAAAAATGTTTTTTACCCTGTCTCGAAAAGCCAAAAAGCAAACAAACAAACAAAAAACATTTTTTTTAGGAAAAAAAAAAAGACACTTGTACACAGATCAGAATTCAGACCAGAAAGCAGACGTCTCTTTAGCTGAATCTCTGCTAATAACAGAGATTTTTCTGACTTTTTGGCTGACCTTTCACCTCTTTCTGCATGTCCCCACACCAGGAAGGTGTTCTGAGTGCCAATCTGGCGAGTACACGTACATCTGAGTGAGTAGGTGAATTCAGGAACGCAGAATCTGTGAGTAATGTGGAGTCTGGCTGTGTATGCATGGTAGCAAAACTCAGGCAACTAAGCAACTAGTAATAACTAGTGCTACACAAAGCTTTGTTAATTAAGTGTTGTTACAAAAGGCAAAACTCATTAGATGTGATATTTGATAAGGATGATCTGAATAAAAGCAAAGCATGTTTAATCTCTTAAAAAATGTCCATGTTGTGTCATGGTGTCGTAGCGGTCCCCACCCCCCCCCCAAGGTAGTGGTGGTGCAGGCAGATCTCTGTGGGTCTGAGGTCAGACCTGGTCTACAAAGCAAGTTCCAGAACAGCCAGGGCTGTTATACAGAGAAACCCTGTCTCAAACAAACAAACAAAAAAGGCTCCATATTCAAAGCAGTGACTTTACAAAGCCATATACCAATACCTCTTTGGAAACCAAGTGTCTAACATCTGTGAGAAACCCCATGTCCCTCCATCAGTGGAAAGCACGCTGGACTTGACCACAGGCACATATTATTTGTTTCACTCTGGGCAGATCACCTAGCTCTCGTGCATCAGATCCTGAAGACAGCATACCATAGACACAAAGGCCGTTGACAATTTACTCTGAATAACACTCTTAAACCCTGAAGGTCATCCTTAGGTAAAAACGCCTCTCACAGTCACAGCTGAATTCAAAGTAGGTCTGGTTGTCTAGTGACGGAGGCCTCAGGATGTTGCACACGCACATTTAACACTTCCAAAATGCACCTGCCCTCTTGCAAGAGCTGTGGTCATCTATCTCCTGTTACCCAGCGTTTTACTTAATTTCAGAGATTACTGCTTGTCTCAGAAGTGCTGCTCTCTGGGGAGATTACCGAGTGCTCGAAAGGGGACTCTCCGACACCCTGGCCAGCACCCATGTCCTCAGAAACTCCTCCCACCTGTCACCCACCCTGACAGCGTCCACTCACACCACTGCACTTCTCCAGGCTTGACTTCACTTACTTTCCAGCTCGCTAATGAGCTGATTGTTGTGTAACTTGACAGCGCGGTGCTGTTCCACCTGATCTTCCAATTCAAATATGGTGTCTTTCATGTCTTTGATTTCTGCGTCGCTCTCCGAAGCTTTCTCTTGTAATTTTAGGCTGGTTCTGCTCAGTTGTTCTGCTTGGTGATCACAGACCTCCTTCAGGTAAGAATAATCTTTTTCCATCTAGAGAACAAGGAGCACTGTCAGTTTAAAAACAACAACAAAACACTCTCACACATCTGAGGAAGACTTGCTGGATGCTCTGGCATATGCCACTATAAATGTTAAGAGAGACACAATGTGTCCAGAGGGCTAGATTGATTCTGTGCCCCTTTTCACAAGCAGAAAGAAAAGGACTTTTAATATATGTGACTTTTTCCTTTACCAGGGCAGAGCAGGGAATCATGAAAACCTGAGTGGCCACCCTAACCTCACATTCTCTATAGAGCAGCGCCCTCTGCTGGTGAAATTCAACGTCCAAGAAGCCTGAGCCACAGAAACCTCAACCTTAGGACACTAGATTATGTTTCTTTGGAAGACACACTACATAGAAATCTGAGTGCCCCAGAAACAGAAATTCATCCCAGCAAACTAATTTCACCTGCTCAACTTTAATTACACACTTGCATAGTAAGAAACAATATAACGATGCACTCAAACTTAACCATTAAATTTTGCCATATTTGCTAAATCTTTTAATTCAATAAAATGTGTTAATGCCTGAACCTTTCCTTCCATTTCAGCAAGTAACAGGCATTGTTCTCAAGCTGGTGTGTACTCATTCCTTGAAGGTTTTCCCACACTTACTACATATGTGTTTAAGTCCTTGATAATATACAGGCTTATTCTAGTTATTTTGAGACTTTACACAACTGATCGTATGTGTGCGTTGATTTGGAGGCATTACACTGCAGTATGTAATATGCCTTTGTCTTGTACTAGACAATGCTTACTGCACTATTTTAACTTAATTTAAATGTTAGTATATACAGATCGATACATATTACAACATGTTATTGTGTGTGGTTTGTGCATTTTCGCATGTGTGTGGGTGTATGTGTACATGTTTGCACATATGTATGGAGGTCAGAGTCTGACATCAGTGTCTTCCTTATCACTCTCTGCCATAGATACTGAGGTAAGATCTCTCACTTGAATCCAGAGCTAGCTAATTCAACTACTCTAGCCAGCTGGTTTGCTCTGGGGAGTCCCTGTCTCCACTTTCTGAGTACTGAGATTAGGCAGGCTACTATGCTTGCCCCACTTTACCTGGGTGCCAGGGATTCAAATTCTGGTCCTCATACTTACACAGAAAAGGCACTAGATTATTTTAATTACTACATACTGGAAACCCACTGCCTGAAAACACTATTCTGTTATTATGAAAAATGCTACAATAAACACTGTCCTTTTTCTATAGCAACTTAACTGACATTAATAAATAGGTATATATTTACCAGGCAATATAAGCTTGATATGCAATAGATTTCTTCCTTTTCTTTAAGTGGGGGGCATGGCGGTAGTCTTCACATCTAATTTTGTTTCCAGTTGCAGTTCTGGCTGGGGACTCTATAGGAACAGGGACCTGGTCTACTTTATTCAGCACAGTACCCAGCACCCTCTGCACCTGTAGGGGGCTCGGCATGGAGAAACTACTTAATGCGTATTTGATGAGCGAATGAATAATATACTACAAGGCGGTTCTGCAGTATTTTCCACTTGGGAAGGTGGGATGGATAGACAGATGAACGGATGGATGGGAGTAGGAAGAGCAACCTCAGTATCAACACAGGTCATACTGCCTGAGTTAAGGACCCACATTGATTATGTAGAACTTGTATTTCAGTTACAAAAGTGTGTGTCTCTGTGTGTGCTGTGGATATACATCACTGCAGGCTACTGTCAAAACTGAAAGCTGATGGAGTATACCGAAATGGCTCAGAGCACAGAATCTGAAGCTAGACTGCCAAGATTTAAATTCCAAAACTATCAAATCAAGATTTGTGGGGTTTTATTTTTTAATATTTTATTATTGTTATTTGGACAAGGTCTCTTTATGTAGCTCAAGCTGGCTTGGAACTCAAAATTGTTCTGCCTCAGTCCCTCCCCCTAGTCATGGGATTACAGGCATGCAACATACACAGTTGAACCTTGTATTCTTTTATTTTCCTCATTTGAACAATGGAGGAGGTTTAATGAAATAATGTATTACAGTTTAACAGTGCCTGGAAGATAGTAAGCACTCAATAAAAATTCCTCCCTTCTTCCACAATGGCCTTATGTATTATGCATAAGACATTATAATGTGAAGAATAATATAATACAAGTTCATTCAACCAAAAAGTTACTTACAATTAGTAGAAAATAGAAGTCTTCTATCTTATCAATAGTTACATTATAATATATAGAAAATGACTTTTTAAAAAATGAGACACATTCTGGGGGCTGGAGAGATGGCTCAGCAGTTGAAAACATTGGCTGCTCTTCCAGAGGACCCATGTTCGATTCCTAGCACCACATGGCAGCTCATAACTGTCTGTAACTCCTGTTCAGGGGGTTCAACACCCTCACAACAGACATACATGCAGGCAAAACACCAATGTATGTAAAATAAAAAAAAATGTTTTTTAGATGAGACAATTCTATTATATTTTCTTTTTTAAAAGATTTACAGAGGGTTTGATGCACTGTGTGGGTGCTGGGAACCAAACCCAGGTCCTTTGAGAGAGCAGTAAGTGCTCTTAGCTCCTGAGCTATCTCGCTAGCCCTAAAGCACTGCATTTTAGATGCTGGAAAGCTAATACCTGAAAGGCAGCAATGGAAGGCAGACTTTTGAGTCCTGCAGGTTCATGGCTGGACTTCTCAAGCAGAGGCATGTCACCGGAGCCCAGGTATATGCATATGACTAGTGGGAAATACTATGGGTGTATAAACAAAATGGGAATATGATGAAGGGAGTGGTTAAGCGTCCTGAATGAGGTGAGACTGCTGACCCTCAGAGACTCTGGTTTTATTTCCCATACACTGATTCATCATGCATCGGAGGGGACAGATATGCAGACTGTGATGAACCTACAATCAGTACTATCTCAAATGCACTCATTTCTTCTTTCTTGATATAAAATTTATCCTCCAAGTCTAATGAAATAGTCCAAAAAACGTTGTTGTTTTTGTTTGGCTGGTTTTAGGGTTTGTTTGGTGGTGGTCGGGTTTTTGTTTTGTTGTTGTTGTTGTTTTTGTTTTTTTGTTTTGTCATTTATTTATTGTTTTTTTTGAGACAGGGGTCTCATTTTCTTATCTACATAGTCCTGACTGTCCTGGAGCTCACTATCTAGACAGACCAGGCTGGCCTCAAACTCACAGACAGCCACCTGCCTCTGCCTCCTGAGGGCAGAGATTAAAAGCGTGTGCCACTATACCCAGCCAAAAAACTTTGTTTTTTAAAAAAGTAGTTTTACCATTTCATCTCCTAGGGACACTCACTGGATCAACAGGAAGATGTTAATTATTTTCAGGTTATATTCATTTTATGGACTGACAAACATATATAGGGGAATTACTCAAAAAGAAGAATGTGGGCTGGAGAGGTAGTTTAGCAGTTAAGAGCACACACAGTTCTTCCAAAGGCCCCGAGTTTGTCTTCCAGAACCCACACTGGGTGGTAATTCCAGCTCCAAGGGATCTGATGCCCTCTTCTGGCCTCCATGGGCACATTCACATAAGTGGCATGTCCATACTCACAGACACAAAAAGAAACTATTTTAGAAAATTCAGCATACCAAGCAGCAGAGAACAAAGCTCCATGTTTTATGATTACTGGAGTTCTAAGATGCTTTTTTTGTGTGTGTGTGATGCTGGCCTTCTGCTGCCCAGCAATGCAAACTTTTGAATTTAGTTTTTCTCATTTGGGAATTACACTATCAGAAACCCAAACATGTTTTTTTGGTGTTTCCCTTGAAAAAAAGAAACCACTTCTAAGCACTGCAAGCATCTTTTATCTTCTTCAGTCAGATTCAAACACACAGATCACCAAGATTTCTCAGAGAGAGGACATCAAGAGTCCCCCTGGATTCACCAACAATGACAAAATCCAGGTAGCAACCTAGTCAGCCACGATCAGACCAGGCTAGAATCCTAGCAAGTGTCACCACCTCTTCCAAGCTTGTGACATTGAACTTGGGGGAAATGCACTGCTCCAGGCCAGTGTCCTTGGAAATGCTTGGAGAAGGGCATGTGCACACAGGACATTCTTTGAGGAGCCCTCCCAATCCTCACTGTGGGAAAGACAGGGAAGCAGGAAGGCAGAAGCAGCTCTCCACTGACCCCTCTGGGTGAGGGCCACACCTAGCGTTCCCTTCATACTGCACCAGCTGCAAAGGCCTGGTCTTTATTTTCTCAATGGATTAGCCATGTGAAGCACCACCCAGGGAGGGCCATCTTGGAAGGGGCTCCAGTTGGGTGCTATCAGCTGCCAATGATTCCCAAAAGCTGGAGTAAAAGAGGGGGCTTTGGACGTGGGAGCCCTGGGTGCAGATATCAGAGGGTTGTATTGCCATATACATTATCTGGAGTCTCTCCTGCAGGAGATGTATGAATAACTGGCTATGATGGCTTTAGCACTTGGTAAATAGGATTACATGGAATAACTATTTCTATATGGTGAATCCATATAGTCTTCTTTAGTTTATCATGGTAAAAAACAGCACAAAGAATATCAAGAGAAGATAAACTATGAACCCAGGCCTTATTGTAACACAAATAATCCCCAAGACAGAGAATGCTGAATAAAGCGAATAAGGAAACAAATGTTTAGCCAATACAACAATATCACCAATCCATAAGGAAGCAAGAATCCAGTACATTAAAAGTAAAAACACGATGTGAGGTGCAAATGGAGTCATTTTAGTTTACAGCTGTGTTTAGTAGGTTCTGAGGGCAAAGATAGCATCTTGGAAAATCAGGCCCGCCTTTGAGAAATCATTTTCTCTCCTACTCAAATAGTGACACACCGATAACAGAGACCAGGGTAGGCATAGAGCTAGGTCAATCAATTCTGAATGAATCCCAGCAACACTGAAGTTGTTCTGTCAGAAATGAACACAGGGAGCTGGTGCTGCCCAGAGAGGAAGCCTGGCTTCTAAAGCTACTGCTTCTTGGGTCACGGTGCCAGCTTGGAGACTGTT